GGGGCACGGGGGGAGGGGGCAGCTCCCACCACTGCGCACTACCAGCCTGGGAGGGCGTGCAGGGGGGTGGGAGAAAGCATGTGCCCCAGATCTGAATGGGGTGGGAAGGGCCGGGGCTGCGCTCCAGGCAGAAAGTGCTGGGAATGGGGGCTCTGCCCTTCAGCCACTAGCCCAGCCGGGCTCAGGGGGCCCAGGATGCAGGCACGGCTTGCTCCGGGCTGGTGCGGCAGTGCTAGGAGCGGGAGCTATGCTCTGCCGCCGGTCGCCCAGTCAGGGCAGGGGAGCGCAGGTGCTGTGCTGCCTCCAGAAAGCAGCATGCAGCGACAAGAGCGGCCCCAGCCTCCCTGCACCTCCCAGATGAGCAGCAGCAGCTTTGCTCTACTCTGCCGGGGCTGGGCCAGTAGTGGATCTGCACAGGGTGGCCAGGACCAGGGCCGCACCAGGCTGAACTCCAGGTAGGCTATGGGGAATTTTAGAGTGACTCCAGCCCCCCACAGTCCCCGCTCCACCACCTGCCCCGCACAGATCCAGGGCACACACCCCCACCATGCCCTGCCGCTGCTGCCACTAGCCCAGCCGGGGCGAGGTGGGACAAAGCCACAGCTCATCTGGGAGGCTGTAACAGCTCCTACTGCTATGCACCACTTGTCCAAGGCAGCACAGCGGCTCCACCCCAGCTGAGCAAACAGAGGCAGGGCATAGCCCCTGCTCCCAGTGCCGCTGCACCTGCCCAGAGCAAGCCACGCCTGCGTCCCATCACCCCTTCCCCAGCCCCAATCCCTCCCTCGCTGCAGGGCATTGATTTCCCCACGCCGCTTCCCTCCCCACCACAGACTTACTAGCTGGATGCAGCTGTGTCAAGCATGATAAAGGAACCAACCCCCCATTTGTAACACGGTTTCTATGGGAAAATTGGTTCCGAATTACAACCTTTTAACTTACAACGTGGTTTTCAGGAACCAATTGTGTCCTAAGTCTGAAGACTGCCTGTACTGGGTAATGAGATCAGTACACATGTTAAATGTGTCACAGGGGAAAAAAAAAGATGGTTTGAAACAGCAGCTTCTATGGTACATACACTATTTTTTTGACCAATTGGCTATTATGTTAGTGCTACACAAGGTGGATAAAAATCAATGATTTAAAAATAAATAAATAAATATAAATAAAAATAAATCAGAATTTTACTATTTAAATCACATTTTTATTTAATTGTATTTTTATTGTTTGTGTTAAGATGCTTTAAAAAATAAACCTATATATCTTAAATTAAAACTCTTTTATATTAAAGCTCAAAGATATCATCATGGAATAGGGACTATAAGTTCTAATTATACACTATTTGAGACAATATATTCCTGTAATGTTTTTAGAAAAGTTTTATAAATAGATCACAATAGGCCATGGACTATATTAGGGGCCCAATCTTATGGGGCTCCCAGAGACTCCTCTATAGATTAGTAAAGATTAAAGAAAACCACTCTGCCCAATGGGAGTCAGTGCTCAGTCCAGAAGATCCCATTAAGCATTGCTGTGATGCTTAGTTTCAGTTCTCAAACAGAATTTGTCTCCAGAGATAACATCCATGTTGACAGCAATATATGGAGATGAAATATAACAGATCTGATTACCTACCCATAAGCCCCCTTGCCTCTTTGCAAGTTTGTGTACACAGAGTCTAGAATTTAACGTGTCTAGAGTCATACACACACACAGGCAATGCATGGGAGGCACGTGCCCGCCCTGAGATTGGCTGACACTGCTGCTGGCATCTGCGGGTGGTCCCCGCTCACCACTGCTATGCTCCCGCCAGCAAAACCACTGCCGCCACCTGCGGGCAATCGTGATGCCCCCCCCCAGCCTCAGGAAACACTAGTCGTTCATGCATATATGTGCAACTGCACTTTTAGAAGTGTTAAATATCTCATCTCATGTACCAAATGCCCTGATGGAAAATACATAAGAGGAATAAAACTACAACTGCACGCCAAAATGAACATGCACCAAAAATCTATTGAAGACAAGAATACCCAACTAGCTGTGGGGGCAGGACAATCACTCCCTCTCCGATCTCTCAGGTGTAATCCTCAAAAGGGAACTTACAAAACACCTTCTGTAGACGAGCCTATGAACTTCACTTCATAAACCTACTGGATACAAAAAAAAAAAAAAATCATGGACTCAAAATAGACATTGGTTTTATGGCTCATTACAACCTGCCAGACATCCAATTCAACAGGTACCTGCCTGACCTGACCTCTTACATTTTTCTTTCCCCCCCACCTCGTCTCCCCTCCCCTCCTTTTCTGCCCTTTGTCCCCTCTGATTTCCTTCCTCTTTGACAGCCTCTTACCTTGTATTTTTACCACTGTAATGTTTCCATTTGGCCCCTTTTTCCCCCCACCTTCTTCCCCTCCCCCTGCCTTACCTTTTGTTTCTCCTTCTTCCCTATTTATATTTTCACTACATCCTCTCACACTTGGAGCTTCTCTCATTCCTGTTTTCCTGATCTCCAGCTATTTTCTTTTTCACTAACAGTCTCTTTTCTAACTTGTATTCTATCACTGTTACGTCTCCTTTAAGCCATTTTTCCCTTGCTCTTCCTCTTCCCCCTCCCTTCTCTGTTTACCTCTCTGCTTCACCTTTTGTCTTTCTAATTTCTACCTACTTACATTCTCATGGACATGCTGCCACACTTTTAGCTTCTCTCATTTCTTGAAGTCTCAGAACAGCAGAGACTTCCTATGCCTGAAGAAGGGTGACTGCGCCCAAAAGCTTGCTAAGAACTTTTTTCCAACAATGCAATTGGTCTAATAAAAGATCTCACATCTACTCAAAGAACCTTGCCCTCCTCTCCTTTTTAGGAAATTTTTCTTATTTCATGGAGGATTGATGGTAACACAACTGTTAATATAGCCTTTGTGGGAGTCTTTTAGAAACAAAAACCAAGACAGGTCAACTGCGCAAATGTCACTAATGTACTACTAGTTGTCAACATGAGAACTAGAACTGACAACAATTGGCAACAGGAAGTGGAAAGAAGGGCCACTCTACAGTTTGTGGTATGAATCCTGCTTCCAAAAAAATCAGATCTGTCACTGAGTTTAGAGCAAAAAAGATATGCACAGCATAGCAAAATTATACATTGATGTGGATGGAAAAATCAAAACTGGTTTGAGAAGTGCGTGCGTGCGTGCGTGCGTGCGTGCGTGCGTATTTTCTCTAGTTTGCTACAGCATTTATTATTTCTGCTTACCCAATACTGGAACACAGGGCACTGTTAGAGAGTTGAAATACTATTCACATAATATACTCTATTACTGTTTTATCAGCTAAAGCCCCAGTGTAGGTGTAGTTTTATTAGTAAATAATTGTTTTTGGTAATACAACATTTTTCATATAGAAATGGTATAAGCTTAAAAAAAAAAAAAACTCTAACTAAACAAGTCACCAAACCGGAGCTAGGGAAAAATGA